ACTCGATGTTATGATGAATTTATTTTGTTATTTTTATTACTTTTATTTCCATGTTATTATTTTTTATTGACAATCGGTTTTTCTTGATATATTTGAGAAACAAAAGTAATAAATCTTATTAAATATTTGTATTGATATACATAACATTGTATAGGATTTTGTATAACATCGATTGTATTTATTTTTTAAAATACAACTGATATATATATATATGATTTTTTATTGATTGCTAAAAACAAACGACTCAAATTGTTTAGTAACAAACCACAAAACAAGATTGTAAATTACAAATTCGATAAAAAAGTTAGTTATTTATGTTTAATTTGTTTATTTTTCACAACAAAACCAATATATGAAACATTGTTATATCATTCATTTTTGCATTATCTTTTTAAAGTTGAATTGTTAATTTAATTTGAGTAATTTGAGTTTGAATCGCTCTCAGAATCGGATTCTAAATCGTCAGAGTCCGAATTATTGGCACTTCCGATATTAAAAGCTTCTTTTGGTATCATCGAGTTATCACGAAGTAAGTCACAACAGAAAAAGCAGTTGGTGCCAAACTTAGTTACAGTGGTTGGTATGGCAATAGAACTTAGTGATGTGCACAAGTCAAACATATGTGCTGGAATTTCTGTGATTCCTTCAGGAAGAACAACTTCTTTTAAGTTGGCACAGCTGAAGCAACTGTAATATCCAACAGACTTAATGTGAGAAGGAAAAACCAATTTTGTAGAACTTCTGTTATTGAAGAAACAGCCTTCATCCACACGTTGTATACACTTTTCGTTAAGTATTGATGGCCCAAATGCGTGGACGTCTCGTCGTGTTAAAACAACATTATTACACACAACACCAATTTTCTCGTAGAAGTATTTACTTGTTGTAAAACTTACTTCAAATTCACAGCACGTGATTGGTGCATTACCAATTCGTATTTCTTGAAGGGAAGTACAACCAGAAAACACGTCAAATTTAATTTGGACTTTTTTCTGATTGAAGCAAACAGTGTTTAGTTTTGCGCAGTTCATAAAGCACCCATCTTCTACAAGTAACACACTTTCAGAGTTAAATGATGTCAATGAAATGCAATTTTTGAATGCAAATTTGCTAATGTGTGTAACTGAGTTTGGTACACTTATTTCACTCAATTTATAACACCTAAAGAACGCGCAATGTGGAATATTTGCAAGTCCATCAAAAAGTATAATTTTTGACAATGAAGAACATCTTTCAAAGACCGAATTGCAAATGTATTTTGTCTGTGGGATACTAACAAGATTATCACACATACTAAAACACTTTCTTCCAAGAATGACATTTGTGTTACACAATATAGATGTCAACGATACACATCCATAGAAACTAAATTCAGACAATTTTGTGACACTTTTGGGAAGTTTTATTGTTTTTAGACTGAAACAATTTTCAAAACAATTAGATGGGATTTTGATTGTATTGGTTGGCAGCACGACACTTGTGAAATTCACCCAATTTTTGAACAAATTTTTGTGTAACTTAACATTGTCACTAATGTTCACATGAGACCCATGGTAACACATCCCCAGTCCTATTGATGGTGACGATTCCAAGTATTTTAAATTATCGTTAGATAGATCAACCGAGTTTATAAAACGCAAATTCTCCATTTCAAGCTCAACCAACCTGTCGTCTTGCCAACACAAGCGTGAGTCCCATATATACCCAAACGTTTTAATATCTTTTTCTGTCATTTTAATGTTGTTAAATAGAAACCCAAGTGCTTTGAGTCTTAAATGGCACTCGTAGCTGACCACAAAAATGTCACTGTCTACTCCATTCAACTCAATTTTTGTCAGTTTTTTGTTGTTGGAAAACAAGTATTTGTCTGCTTTTTTCAGTGTTGAAGGCAATGAAAGTTCCTTTAAATCAGCAAGTCCTGATACACAATTATACACATAAGTGACTCCATTTGGAATCACCAATTTAGTCAGTGTAGTGTCTCTGGTTAACTCGTGAAGTGTATTTGTATCACTTTCTGTGATTTTCTTTAAATCAAAGGAAGTGCCATTTTCGCACACAAGACTTGTTAGCACGCTACACCCACTCACAAACCCATTCCCAATTTTCGTGACACTTTTTGGTATGACAAGTTCTTCAAGATAACGGCACCCATTGAACGCGTTCTTACCAATTGCAACAACAGTACTTGGTACTTCATACTTTTTTGGAAGAAGTCCGTACCAAATGTTGTGTACACCAATTTTGGTGATGGATGTTGGAAACACAAAATTAGAAGTCATGTCATATGAAAACTCTTTGTTCATGTTGATGCAACAATTCTCTGATATTTCAACGGGATTATCTGTACTATTATTGATGTTTTCTAAATTAAAGTACACAATTGTCGATGGGAAGTACACCCTTTGTAGATATTTATTATAATAAAAACGTTGTCCGCCAACACTTTCAGCTTCACGAAAGTCAAACACTTTACGTTGTTCTATTTTGTCTAACACAACTTCATTACAGTTTAACATGTCTTTCACTTCATGTAACTTCTCGTCTGCAATTCTGTCCTCGTCGTTGTTGTAATTTTGTTGATTTTCATAATCAATATTAATCACAACATCAAGTGCAGTATACCCAAATTTATTGACAATTTCCTCTTCGTATTTACTAATTGCGAATGTCAATTTCCCATTGAAATTTGGGAGTGTCAGTCCACTTAATTTAATGCAATTGGTAAACACATCAACACCACTAAATTTCGTGTTTTCTGGAAAATGCAGTTCCTCCAGATTGGAGCAGTCACAAAATACACGTGCACACATATACAGAAGTCCTCGTGGAATCACAAATTTGCGTAAGGAAGTGCATTTTCAAATGCCGATGTGTTGATGATTTGAAGTGATGATGGGACATCAATGTATTCAAGTTGTTCACATTGATAAAACGAGTGACTCCCAATACCCTGTACTGTGGTGTCCATTTTAACACTTTTTAACAACAAACAATATCTGCACACATAATCAGCTATATACACTTGCCCAATAAATTCAATATGATTCAAATCTGAGCTTTCAAAAGCATTGAGTGAAACACAAATGTTTGGTGTAACAACGATGGAGAGTATTCCACAGTCATCACCAAAACAGTCATATCCAATTGCAGTGACAGATGACGGGATTTCAACTTCTTTGAGCGACACACATTTTTTAAAAGTCTGTGAGGGGATGTATTTAAGTGAAGAGGGAAGTGTCACACGTGTTAAATTGGTGCATCCATTAAACATACAATCACCAAGAAATGTCACCGAGTCTGGTATGGCAATTTCTTGTATGTGCGCACATTTAAAAGCGTCATTTAATATTACTTGGACACCAAATGGAATTTCTACCACGTGTTCCTTGCAATTCTTGAAACAGTTGTTGTCAATACAATACACATTTTGAGGAATTGTGTTGCCATACTTTAGTCTGTCTTCTTTTGTGTATTTCACAAACCGACAAACATTAAAGTGTTTCTTTTCTTCTATAAATTTGTTGTACGTAACAGGATAAGAAAATTGGAGTCGTTCAATTGCCGTGTTTGTGAGTTGAATGTCAAATGGAGAAAACAAATTTTGTGTCTGAATATTAGGAAATAAGTGCGTGTTTTGTGGTGTTATTTGTATTGGGTTGATTCTGATTCTCTCAAGCACGTACTCGTACTTTTTACATACACAAACAACGTTAATGAAGTCAATTGAATTGACCAAATAATTTGTTACAATCTGCAATGAAAACACATCAAGTCTTGTCATTTGAATTTGAAATTACACCAATTTTATTAGTTCCGAATTTTATGAAAATAATAGTAACTAAAATGAATCATTAGTTTAATGAAGTATAATGTGATAACAACTAAAGTTTAACAATATATAAATATGATAATTTATTATATTATTATTCTTAAAACGAAAAATAACAATACATAATAATAAAAATACATTATCAACACAGTACACTTTCGCAACACAATTTTTATTCTACTATCTCAATGGGTGTATTGTGAGCCAGTGATATTTTTTAAAAGGTTTACAAAGCAATTACAGATTTAATACACATTTATAACAACACAATAAGCAAAAATTCTAAACAATAGCACTTAATTTGTATCCAAGAGTAAAAAAACATTTAACAAACGGTACCGCTATTGTTTTTCGAGTCTTTTATTAACAATTTTAAAAATTGTATATAAAACAAGTTTTGTGCATTTAAATAGTCACTAATACGTGTTGATTATTGTTAAAATAACAAAACTGTTAATATTTTTGTTTTTTGATCAATTTCTTGTGATTATAAAAAGTAATTATTAATGTGGTTGTTGACTCAACATTAAGAATAACCCAATTTTTTAAAATTAATTTGTTTTACTGAGATATATTGTAATTTGATGTGTTTTTTACTTTTTGGCTTGTGTATTGTAATTCAAATAATATCTTTCATAAACATAGTTAATATTTTATAATTTCAAGATTTCCTATTTTTTACACTTGATTTTTGTTTGGTGTTATTTAAAGTGTTAATTTGAGAAGTCACCAATTCCATTCCCAAAAAGACACAAAAAGTGAATGAGAAACAAACTATTTGGGTGTTGTTGAAAAATGCTGTGTATTAACCAGTATTACTAACTTGATGATAATACATTCTTTATAATTATTAAAATCAACCCAATTATTTCACAAATCTCTTATCTTATTATTATTTCATTTAAATATAACTTAAAACGAATAAAATCTATATCTATTTTAAATGAGAAGGTTAAAAAATGTTAATTGAATTGCTCATATAATTATAAATAACTTTTATCATGTTTTCATAAAAAATTAATGTAGTTAGTTGAATAGACAGACAAATGATTATCAAAAAACAAGAATTATGAAAAAAAACAAATATGGTTAGAGATAATTATTTATAGTTTAACGAAAATTGTTAAATATTTTGTATTTTTATGTTTAATAAACACCCAATTTAAAAATTGTTAATAATTAGATAATTTTTATAATGTTTTTGTTTTCATAAAAAAATAGATATGATAACAAATTGACAAAGAATCAAAACATTAAAGATAAAGTAATGTTACTGTGTAATTGTAATTATATTAACAAGTATAATTGAAAAGAATAATTATTTATTTATAAATAGTTATTTATTTCTAATTTTAACACAATTACAAAGAATTATTTTGTTAGAAAATTGCATCATAAATAAAAATATTTAAAAATATCTAAAACATTTGTTTTTTAATTATAGAATTGTTAAAATTTATAAATAACAATCGAATGTAAAACTAAAAGTGATTTGCTTGAAAATAAACAAATTGTGTTCCAAAGTAATAATTATCTTTTTAAAAACTCCATTCAATATGATATTTTAGGTACTTTTTTAATCGAATTTAAAACACATAAGAATGCACATATCAAAAGAAATTCCAAATAAAATAATAATATGTTTTTAAAACAAACCAATTATTCAAACTTACAAAATTTCGTTGCTAGTGTATCAAGACAAATTACAGTGTCAGTTTTCCGTTTGCAATAAAAGCGTCTTTATATTACATTCCAAATCATTAAAAGATGAATAAGTTATTAATTGGATTAATTGTAGGAGTTTCTATCATTTCTGCACTCTGTGTTGTTATTATTATCGCAGTTACTCTTGGTGTTGTTCTTTCTAAAGATGACTCTTCTGGTGAAATACCTCCGAGTCCCCAGTTGGTTGTCAACAACCCTTACATGGTCAATGAATTGGACTCACTTGAAGTTATTTCTCGCACCAAATTCGCTGGTCTCAAGCCAAAGATCATGAAGATGAAATACACAAAATATCCATATTGGGGAACAAAAGAATCATTCACAACTGAAGAGAAAACTGCCATCATTGAAGAAAACACCCAAATATGGGCAGATTTATTGACAATGATAAACAATGGATCCTACGGACGAATGGATCCTGAATTGGGCGGAGAAAAACAATTTGAAGCAAGTGGTGTTAACTGGGAAGCGGACAGAGTATCTATTAAATACGGAATAATGGGCAAGTTGACTGGAATGCGTCTAGTTGGTTGGGTATTTCCAGGTGAGTTGTTTACAGTGACAATTCCTCAAGACCTCAACATTGGTGACGGAAATCTTGTGCTTTGTATAGGAAAGTGTAGTAGATCTGCTGATAGACATTGGCTTAATGTAGCAAAGTTTTCCAGCAACCGAATGCCATTAGACTCTTACCAATTCCCACTACATGAATCTATGCTAGACAATAATCGGCAATACAAATTGGGATCACCTTTTGGAGGCGGAGTTTATGTGTATACAGGAGGTAGTACTGGCAATTGGAATCCATTCTTTTTGACTTTCGACAATTTGGGACTTGCTCCCCGAATCAATTATGGTGAAACAACAAACAAACAGTGGAATGAAGAGTTGAGAAATGCTCCAGGGAATGTTGCCGAAATCAGAACACCTGGAATCAGACTCATCATGACTGCACGAAACGTCAGAGAAGTTGAAGACGCAGAATTTGTAGGAACATGGTGGCATGAAGCAATTAGTGTTGGGAACACTGTTACTGGGACATTTTTCCCCATGCCAATTTCTATGATGTTTGACGAAAGAGTTGATGCTGGTGCTGCTGTCGCTTTTGTTGGTGCATGGTTTTGTCAAATGCCAAGCTCTTGGGCTGGTTCCACTGTTAATAAACAAGCTATGATAACTCAACTCAATTGGGGAACTTTGCATGAAATGAATCACCACATGGAAGGAACATACTTAAAAGGTGGTGAATGGGGAATGGGTGCTTCTGAGACGAACAACAATGTAATAAATGCGATCTTCCACATTGATTATAACAACATTTCTGCAAAAAGAGGTGCAGGATTTTCTGGTTGGGAGTATATCACTGACGGGTTTGCAACAATGAAACCTGTTTTTGATGATTCACAAAACCAACTTTATTTGAGAACATATGTGACTCCAGCTTTTGGATTTGGCACAATTGCAGTGAAACAATTGATAAACAATTATTATTACATGTATTACAATGAAAATTATGAAACAACGTTTGGAAAGACCAGAACAGACTCTGGAATTTTCTGTCTTTTGTTAGCAAGAGCAATTGAACGAGACACACAATATTACTGCAATATTTTCAAGTGGGCAATTGACGCAAATATTCTTGCTGAGATCAAGAAGTACAAATACCCAACTTTCTTCCCATTTTTCATGAGTTACTCGCACACATACAACGGCAATAAATATGGTAGAACTTACACATTGCCGTATAATATTACAACAAGACTCAACTTTACAGCCGCTACTGCAATGGATAAGGCAACAAAGAACATCAAGTTTGAAATACTTCAAGGACTTACAAAAGGGAACATCAAAAAGATTGAAGAAAATGTTTATGATTATACCCCTACAAACAACCCAAGTGACGGTGATACTTTTAAAATAAAGTTTACCTTTAAAGCCAACGGAGAGAACGGAGAAATTATCTACGAAGGAGAGTTTGTCACTGAAAATAAAGCGCGACGTGGATATGGCTATAAGGTCGTATCTGAAAAAAATCTAAACAATATGTCGGATGTCGAGGCAATAATGAAAGGACGCGACATGTCAAAATACGATTACATACGATACTCCAATGCAATGCAAATTAATAATTACAATGACAGAGTTGGAAATGTTAATATACCCACATTCAATAAAATTGAGGGAACTTTAGTTGTTCCAGATGATGGCTATTACACCCTTTTTATTAAAACAGACGAAATGGGCACTTTGGATATGCAATTGGAAGATGGCAAATACACTCGTTTTGCAACAGTTAACACGTACATTTCAAGCTACCAAAAGAATTTAGAAGGCTCATATAAAACAATGTTGTTGAAAGCAAATTATTATTATAATTTCATCTTGCAGAATTATAATGCAGGAGCACAAGGCGGAATGAATGTTGGATATTGCTACCATGGTACTAAAGAATCAGAAGTCAACGTCTCGTCTTGTAGTATAAAAGATGTCCCACCAACGTACGTGTACACCAAAGGATTGGGACCAAGAGACCTCCAAAAAGAGTATGTCTTCCCACCAATAAAATACAGCCGTCAAATTCTTTATTTGAACTACAAAATGACAACATCCCCAATATGCACCCAAGATGAATGTGATGTCGAATGTAAAGAACTACCACCACCTGCAGGTTCGGGTAATGTTTGTAATAGTATATTTGATCGAAATGACGCAACCTTATTCCACTCAGCTTGGATTGGAAGTGGAACAACCTTCCCAACAACAT